GTTTGATCAACATTTCCTGATGTCAGAAACTTTCATTTCAACCAAACAAACATAGTTTACTTCACTTGAATAATTCATTGTCCAGAAACATTGAATGAAAGGTATCTGACTGAAATCTTCAGCGTAGAATTTGCACATTTTTCATAACCAATCTACCATGGACAATAACCGAGCAGAGTTGTTCACAGTTTTTATGGATGTTAACCGTTATCGTTGGTGTATACTAGGCCTAATCAACATTAGTTAATAGTAATTATTGAAAATATTACCACAATTAAAACCTCAAAATATGGGTTAGGCTGATGATCTTCTTACGACTTCTCAGAATTCATACAGTTGACACATTCGTAATAAGTTGTTACAGACAAAAAACAACCCAGCTGAGAATTCGTACAAAAGCCTTAAACAGAACATGAGATAGCAGTGAGAAGAAAGACTGTAACAGATTATGAGAGTGATGAAAATTTCAACTTTCTGGACACTTAGATACAGCGTAAGATGGATTGTACTTCTCAGAAGTCTAGTAGTAATGTAAGGTAAGTGGAATAGGTTGTATCTGAGTTTCGAAAGCTTTTGAATAAATAGTCACAACCGAGCACAGAGCAAAAATACATGATAAACTGGAGGAAGAGTTTCAGATCGCTGATAAGTAATAGATAGTGGCTATCATAGAAGGTGATCAATACAAAGTATAGTAGATGTGAAGAGGAAATTCCAATAACAACAGCCGCTTCAACTTTAGGCTCGATAATTCAGGGTAAGTCACAATAGACTAAAAACAGTGGTAACACTGAAAACACAAAACAACAGACAGTGAAACTAAACAAAACGTGAAAATTACCTCTGAATAATCTACGGAATGACAACAATATAGAACTTACTCATAGCACTAAGATATCGGTTGATGAGATCATATTAAACGTACAGCTCTGCCTGACCTCCACATTCTTCAAGTCTCAGGACAAAATATACAGACAAACAGAAGGAGTAGCAATGGGACCACAAATATCCCCGATCGTAGCAGATATATTTACCGACAGTTGGGAAAACGCGGCTTGACAAACGTTTGATCCTGCACCAAAAATATGGTGGCCATATGTGGACTACATATTTACTGTGTTGAAATCGGAACATATCGAGAATTTCCTTACACATATAAACTCAGTAGTAGGCACAATCAAATTCACATATGAGGTAGAAAATGAGCAAGGATAGTTACAAATGTTGGATCGCAGATGAAAATGAGGAACAGACGGTGGTTTGGATACTACAGTCTACAGAAAACTGACACATTCCAACAGGTATCTAGACTTCAAGTCATCCCATCCAATGTCAGTTAAGGCAGGCTTAGTCAAATATCTAAGTGACAGAGCTAGGAAACTGACTAGTCAATGCAATAACCTAAAAAAGAAATTGAAACAAGTAAAAGAAGGGCTAATAGTTAATAATTATCCTTCGCAGTTAATTAAGAAATTCGTACGAACACACAAGAAACGAAACGAAAACAATAATAGTAGCACTAGTACGAATAATGAGGATGTCAAAGCCAGGATCGGAAATACAGCAAGACATGCCTTCCTGCATTAACCTGAAATAAATCAGTGTGGAGATCTACTGCACTGCACTGCACTGCACTGCACTCAGCATTAAGCGTGGACAAGATCCAGATTTCCAACACTAACTCATTCAAGTAACTCAGAGTTTCTATATGCTTCACAAACTTGGCCCGTCACGAAAAGCATTTCCAACAGACTGCAGATATACATCATCAACAGCTACCGCCTACACTCACTCGATACTGAAGATCAGATCAAATGGTCAGAAAGAATAAGCAACAAGGAACTCACTATGGCTGGCAACGAACCAACCAACAACCCGTCGCCCAACAGATGTGAAGAAGAAGAGGAAGAAGAAGAAGAAGAGGAAAGAGGAGATGGATTGAATTGGGCATACAGTGATCGGACGGATTGGGATCACAACGCCCCGGGTCAGGCGGGTGCGGGGCCAGGTCAAACCCTCGAGTGGAAGCCAAAGGGGGAAACAACGAGTTGGGGATCTGAGGCGAGGTTGACATGGGGGAGATGGTGTGAGGAAGAAATGAGAGCTTGTGGGCAGTGGTGGAGGCAGGTTTTGAAGACTGGAGAGAAGAGAGTGAAATGGTGACGTGTTACTGAAGCCATGTTCCTATGTTCCACTAGGAACCCAAGGGACAAATAATAATATAATAGTACGAATAACAATGACAACACAAGTGGAAAGGAGTTCACAGCCTCCATTGTGTTACCCTACAAGGAAGGTATATTAGAAACCTTATGTAGGATTCTCAACAAAGCTGGAATTAAATTAGGGTGGAATTAAAGCCTACAAACTCACTCAGAAATAAGCTTTGTCGGCTTAAAAATCCGATAGAACCAGTTAGAATAGCCGAACATACGAATTTAACTAAATGTAGAATGACAGACCTAAATAAGATCAATAATCTAGAAGAAAAACCCGGCTATTGGATTACATGCATTAACGTACAGCCACACAATAGGGTAGGATAAAGCCACTGTACTTAAGTCGAAGATAATTAGGTGGAGAGAGAGAGAGAGAGAGAGATTGATTACTGAATCTTTGTTCAGCGAATCAGCATCCAACACATGTAATAGAAATGATGCAACACCAATACCAGAGATATGGAGAATTTTACTACCAATAAAAACAACTCATATGAGGTGACTGACGTAACTGTAAAAATCAAATGTCGAAAATAGTGTGATTACATATGATATGATTATGAGCAGTAATAATATATGCTCAAAATGTCATCAAGTAAATAATACTATATCACTCACTGTGTTATAAATGAAATAAACAAATGTAATATGGAATTAAATTCTACCACAGTGCCCAAGTTTTGCACCTATATTAATGCCCTACATAGAACCACCTTGCATCTAAATTGGTTCCACTGCATCGAATATGCTCATTGCTGTAGTCAAAACTGGACAAATACATTTTTTGTTTCTTCGAAATGCCTATATCAGTTTATATATACATATATAGGTACAAAGGATTACACCACGTTGAGATTTCTGAACATATTCTTAAAAGCTTACGACTGACGAAGAAACAATTTCAGCAGAACAGTTGCCCAACATCTGAGTTATACAGGAAATAATGTAGACGTCTTATACGTTTTCTAAGGCTATAGCTATCAAACGTCTGAAACCTGGTTAAGGAGTTCAAAAGAATACTGTCATCAGCCTTTTTCTGTTTGCGCAACCCGCTTCTAAATTCCTACTATAATCTAGTCAAATTATCTCTTATTATGTATGGAGATGGTGTGAGGAAGAAATGAGAGCTTGTGGGCAGTGGTGGAGGCAGGTTTTGAAGACTGGAGAGAAGAGAGTGAAATGGTGACGTGTTACTGAAGCCCTATGTTCCACTAGGGCTTCCTTTAAACACTGGTATACAAGCTTCCATCTTCTCTCCTCTTGATTTTGAAATCGAATATCGGTAATTCTCCTTTATTTACTAATTCACAAGTGAATTAGAATGCATCTACCATGCAGTTAATGTGTGCGGAAAGATTGCAGATGTTTTGATTTGAACAGAGTAAATGTGTCATATATATATATGGCGACCATACTTGTTTTGGGATGTGCGGTAGGTTGGGTTGGAATGTTCCTAATATCGTTTGTTCCTATTTATGAGTATGTTTGCTTATATCGGGGGATACTGCAGATCTCATTACTACTTTTTCTGTTTGTCTATATATCTTGCTTTGAAATTAGAAAACCGTAGAGGTTAGACGCAGTTGTATGCCTAACATAGTTTCACAGTAAAAACTTGAGTTCTATTACTGAATTTATGATCAGTTTTTAGTTCATTTTTGACTGCCTTAAGTACCATACTTATACTGGTATGTTTGTACAGAGGCTCGTCACACCAAAACTGACCAACATTTCTCCTTCGTCTGATTATTTAGTCTGTGTTTCAAATTAAATGAGTTGGTGAGCCTAGATATCAAGCGATTTTTAATATGACTTAGTATAGTATAGTATAGTATAGTAGCTTAGTATTTAGATAACTCATAGTTAGTGTGCTTCTACAGTCAGCTATTGGCCTAATAGGATAACTTGTTTATCAACCTTATGTATGGTGCTGTACATTCTACTAGAAATGTTAGTTTTAAGGCATTAAGTTACTTTTTTCCAGCCGATCTGGACAGAGTACAGTGTGAAAATGATCAACTGGGTGACTTAACAAACAAAAATGTGTCGCCTGAGTTTAGTTCATACGAAATAGGTGTCCTGTATTATAATAATAATAGGTTGAAATAGAGATATGTCCATGTATGTCTTTTCCACGCACTAGTTAACTATTACGCAAGACATCCAGTGCATACAAATGAAATGTAAGGTCTGAATTGTTTATGCGTTAGCTGTTTCCTTGTTTTCTCTCACATGCCTAGTGTGTTTATAATTGGACAAGACGTAAACTAAGTATTATTTTCTATAAAGTGAGATATTGGGTTGACATTTGAACGATTCTCATGGTTTTTCCAAATGACTTTAAAGGCAACCCTAGCAACTGTTAAATAGACCAATGAGGTTTTTGTATTTCTCCTAAGAAAGTAGTTTTCCATGAAATAAAGGAATGTAATTGGCCGACTCACCAGTTGTTACGGTCAACTTTTATAGACCACTGTAGCGACATTTTGGCTGAAAAGGTAATAATTTGTGTTGCAAACATAATCCAGTCAATAGTACCATCATTGTATGTTATACCAAGTAAGCGAATGTCATATGGAATTACATTTCACCGCAGTATCTGAGTTCCATTTAATTATCATTAAATAAGCTTGTTGACTACTACACCAAGTTCATATGAATGACTTTGTTCAAGTTAATTCCAAATATCTGCGTTAAAATGCTTCCAGTGTTACTAACATGACGTCTATTAATGATTGAATAAAAGAGTTGACGTAATTATCATTTTCGTGTGCTAGAAACTACTCATATCCCCATGAGGAATAATGTTCTTGTACAAATGCTTCACATTTTCAGTTGAAGAGAATATTTCATACATAAAATTCTCTTAATGAAGTTGTTATTTCACCAGTTTCTCGACAGCTTACTGCAACCTGGATTATCACTTGATAAGGAGTTATGAATGAAATTTAGCATGGTTCATTGTCCCTAGGATGCAAATTCGGTTAGTAGTCAAAACAAACAGAGAGGAGCATGTATTAATAAGAAAAATCGTGATGAGAAATTCGAAGGTTATGAAGACATGACAAAATGTCGCAATCGTATACATTAAGCAACCGATAATCCTCTAAAATTGATAGATTAAGACACTAGGTTTATTGACGAGCGAAATGTGTAAAACGTAACTCGGTATAATGGAAGTTAATGCAAGCATATCTACCCAAGTATATTCGTTTAGGCGTTTCCGCAGACACTTCAACCATTATTGCATTCCTTATTGGGTTTGGGTTTCTTAATTTATGTAGGAAGCTCAGTGATGCCTTTGAAGTGAAGACAGGAGAGAAGACAAGGCTGCCTACTATCACCCATGATATTGCTGATTGTGGTGGACTGGATCATGCAGCGAACCGTAAGGAGCGAGAAGTGGGCATACGCTGTTTGACCGATGAAAAGATCCTAGGAGAAGATTTGGATTTCTCCGATGACTTGTGTCTAATGTCACACAAACTCGAAGATCTACAGGCAAAATTCAACAATTTGACAGAAGAGGCGAGGCAGGGCAGCGAAGACAGGACTTCAAGTGGAAGTAGAGAAGACGGAGGTGATGAAGATACTCAACCAGCAACAACAACAACAAGCTGCAATCACCATCAACGGGAGAAACTTAAAGGAAGTAGCCTCATTCACCTACACCTACCTAAGCAGCATCGTTTCAACTGCAGGCGGAGGCACAGATGAGGATGTCAAAGCAAGGATCGGAAAAGCAAGAGAGGCGTTGATTAGCCTGAAACCGGTGTGGAGATCTACTGCACTGCACTGCACTGCACTGCACTCAGCATAAAGCGGGAACAACATTCGGATTTTCAACATCAACATCAACGTCAAGTCAATGCTTTTGTATGGTTGAGAGACTTGGTGCGTTACGAAAGGGATTTCCAACAAACTACACACATTCATCAACAACTGCCACCTACGCTGGCTCGTTACTGGAGATCAGATAGATGACCAGAAAGAATAAGCAACAAGGAACTCTGGCTAGCTGTCAACGAACCAACGATGCAACAACCTATCACTCAACAAATATGCAGAATGGGGAAGTGGAGATGGATTGGATTGGATTGGATTGGGCATAGACTGAGAAGACCGACTGGTGATATCACGCGTCAGGCGAGTTGCTCGAGTGGAACCCAGATGAGAAGCGACGAGTTGGGCGTCGGAGGTGAGGGTGATATAGAGGAGGTCGTGCGAGGAGGAAATGAGAGGTTGTGGGTTGTCGTTGAGCCAGGTTGAAAATATTTCAGGTGACAGAGTGGAATGGAGACGTGCTATTGAAGCCCTATGCTCCACTAAGAACCCAAGGGATAATATAATAATAATTCGCTTTCTTTGCTGTTGTTCATCATACGGATGTTTCTGGTCTGGAGTAAATGGACGACTAGAGCATGAACCGTTCAGATCAAATTGAGTTCCTATCTCCTCATTTACCTATGCTTAATTTAGAAGTTACCAAAAGTTTTTAATTTCGAACTTAGAGATTTACGGAAAACATACAAGATCTAGTAAAAGATGATTTAACAAAGCAACTATCAAAGCTACTGTCTAGATATAATCAGAGATTAAAAGTATACACTTTGCACAGGAAGTGGCTGTGGTGACTCAGTAGTCTAGTGGATAACACTCTGGCATTCCGAATCCGGGTGGGAACAATACTCACTGGGGTGTATGTACATCCAGCTGAAGAATCCCAAACAGGACGACACCCGCGTCCTGGATTCCACTGCTAGCCACTATCCATCGTTAATACAGAAGAGATAATTTGACTAGATTATAGTAGGAATTTAGAAGCGGGTTGCGCAAACAGAAAAAGGCTGATGACAGTATTCTTTTGAACTCCTTAACCAGGTTTCAGACGTTTGATAGCTATAGCCTTAGAAAACGTATAAGACGTCTACATTAATGTATACGATTGCGACATTTTGTCATGTCTTCATAACCTTCGAATTTCTCATCACGATTTTTCTTATTAATACATGCTCCTCTCTGTTTGTTTTGACTACTAACCGAATTTGCATCCTAGGGACAATGAACCATGCTAAATTTCATTCATAACTCCTTATCAAGTGATAATCCAGGTTGCAGTAAGCTGTCGAGAAACTGGTGAAATAACAACTTCATTAAGAGAATTTTATGTATGAAATATTCTCTTCAACTGAAAATGTGAAGCATTTGTACAAGAACATTATTCCTCATGGGGATATGAGTAGTTTCTAGCACACGAAAATGATAATTACGTCAACTCTTTTATTCAATCATTAATAGACGTCATGTTAGTAACACTGGAAGCATTTTAACGCAGATATTTGGAATTAACTTGAACAAAGTCATTCATATGAACTTGGTGTAGTAGTCAACAAGCTTATTTAATGATAATTAAATGGAACTCAGATACTGCGGTGAAATGTAATTCCATATGACATTCGCTTACTTGGTATAACATACAATGATGGTACTATTGACTGGATTATGTTTGCAACACAAATTATTACCTTTTCAGCCAAAATGTCGCTACAGTGGTCTATAAAAGTTGACCGTAACAACTGGTGAGTCGGCCAATTACATTCCTTTATTTCATGGAAAACTACTTTCTTAGGAGAAATACAAAAACCTCACTGGTCTATTTAACAGTTGCTAGGGTTGCCTTTAAAGTCATTTGGAAAAACCATGAGAATCGTTCAAATGTCAACCCAATATCTCACTTTATAGAAAATAATACTTAGTTTACGTCTTGTCCAATTATAAACACACTAGGCATGTGAGAGAAAACAAGGAAACAGCTAACGCATAAACAATTCAGACCTTGCATTTCATTTGTATGCACTGGATGTCTTGCGTAATAGTTAACTAGTGCGTGGAAAAGACATACATGGACATATCTCTATTTCAACCTATTATTATTATAATACAGGACACCTATTTCGTATGAACTAAACTCAGGCGACACATTTTTGTTTGTTAAGTCACCCAGTTGATCATTTTCACACTGTACTCTGTCCAGATCGGCTGGAAAAAAGTAACTTAATGCCTTAAAACTAACATTTCTAGTAGAATGTACAGCACCATACATAAGGTTGATAAACAAGTTATCCTATTAGGCCAATAGCTGACTGTAGAAGCACACTAACTATGAGTTATCTAAATACTAAGCAAAAATACTATACTATACTAAGTCATATTAAAAATCGCTTGATATCTAGGCTCACCAACTCATTTAATTTGAAACACAGACTAAATAATCAGACGAAGGAGAAATGTTGGTCAGTTTTGGCGTGACGAGCCTCTGTACAAACATACCAGTATAAGTATGGTACTTAAGGCAGTCAAAAATGAACTAAAAACTGATCATAAATTCAGTAATAGAACTCAAGTTTTTACTGTGAAACTATGTTAGGCATACAACTGCGTCTAACCTCTACGGTTTTCTAATTTCAAAGCAAGATATATAGACAAACAGAAAAAGTAGTAATGAGATCTGCAGTATCCCCCGATATAAGCAAACATACTCATAAATAGGAACAAACGATATTAGGAACATTCCAACCCAACCTACCGCACATCCCAAAACAAGTATGGTCGCCATATATATATATATATATGACACATTTACTCTGTTCAAATCAAAACATCTGCAATCTTTCCGCACACATTAACTGCATGGTAGATGCATTCTAATTCACTTGTGAATTAGTAAATAAAGGAGAATTACCGATATTCGATTTCAAAATCAAGAGGAGAGAAGATGGAAGCTTGTATACCAGTGTTTAAAGGAAGCCCTAGTGGAACATAGGGCTTCAGTAACACGTCACCATTTCACTCTCTTCTCTCCAGTCTTCAAAACCTGCCTCCACCACTGCCCACAAGCTCTCATTTCTTCCTCACACCATCTCCATACATAATAAGAGATAATTTGACTAGATTATAGTAGGAATTTAGAAGCGGGTTGCGCAAACAGAAAAAGGCTGATGACAGTATTCTTTTGAACTCCTTAACCAGGTTTCAGACGTTTGATAGCTATAGCCTTAGAAAACGTATAAGACGTCTACATTATTTCCTGTATAACTCAGATGTTGGGCAACTGTTCTGCTGAAATTGTTTCTTCGTCAGTCGTAAGCTTTTAAGAATATGTTCAGAAATCTCAACGTGGTGTAATCCTTTGTACCTATATATATATAAACTGATATAGGCATTTCGAAGAAACAAAAAATGTATTTGTCCAGTTTTGACTACAGCAATGAGCATATTCGATGCAGTGGAACCAATTTAGATGCAAGGTGGTTCTATGTAGGGCATTAATATAGGTGCAAAACTTGGGCACTGTGGTAGAATTTAATTCCATATTACATTTGTTTATTTCATTTATAACACAGTGAGTGATATAGTATTATTTACTTGATGACATTTTGAGCATATATTATTACTGCTCATAATCATATCATATGTAATCACACTATTTTCGACATTTGATTTTTACAGTTACGTCAGTCACCTCATATGAGTTGTTTTTATTGGTAGTAAAATTCTCCATATCTCTGGTATTGGTGTTGCATCATTTCTATTACATGTGTTGGATGCTGATTCGCTGAACAAAGATTCAGTAATCAATCTCTCTCTCTCTCTCTCTCTCCACCTAATTATCTTCGACTTAAGTACAGTGGCTTTATCCTACCCTATTGTGTGGCTGTACGTTAATGCATGTAATCCAATAGCCGGGTTTTTCTTCTAGATTATTGATCTTATTTAGGTCTGTCATTCTACATTTAGTTAAATTCGTATGTTCGGCTATTCTAACTGGTTCTATCGGATTTTTAAGCCGACAAAGCTTATTTCTGAGTGAGTTTGTAGGCTTTAATTCCACCCTAATTTAATTCCAGCTTTGTTGAGAATCCTACATAAGGTTTCTAATATACCTTCCTTGTAGGGTAACACAATGGAGGCTGTGAACTCCTTTCCACTTGTGTTGTCATTGTTATTCGTACTATTATATTATTATTTGTCCCTTGGGTTCCTAGTGGAACATAGGAACATGGCTTCAGTAACACGTCACCATTTCACTCTCTTCTCTCCAGTCTTCAAAACCTGCCTCCACCACTGCCCACAAGCTCTCATTTCTTCCTCACACCATCTCCCCCATGTCAACCTCGCCTCAGATCCCCAACTCGTTGTTTCCCCCTTTGGCTTCCACTCGAGGGTTTGACCTGGCCCCGCACCCGCCTGACCCGGGGCGTTGTGATCCCAATCCGTCCGATCACTGTATGCCCAATTCAATCCATCTCCTCTTTCCTCTTCTTCTTCTTCTTCTTCTTCACATCTGTTGGGCGACGGGTTGTTGGTTGGTTCGTTGCCAGCCATAGTGAGTTCCTTGTTGCTTATTCTTTCTGACCATTTGATCTGATCTTCAGTATCGAGTGAGTGTAGGCGGTAGCTGTTGATGATGTATATCTGCAGTCTGTTGGAAATGCTTTTCGTGACGGGCCAAGTTTGTGAAGCATATAGAAACTCTGAGTTACTTGAATGAGTTAGTGTTGGAAATCTGGATCTTGTCCACGCTTAATGCTGAGTGCAGTGCAGTGCAGTGCAGTGCAGTGGATCTCCACACTGATTTATTTCAGGTTAATGCAGGAAGGCATGTCTTGCTGTATTTCCGATCCTGGCTTTGACATCCTCATTATTCGTACTAGTGCTACTATTATTGTTTTCGTTTCGTTTCTTGTGTGTTCGTACGAATTTCTTAATTAACTGCGAAGGATAATTATTAACTATTAGCCCTTCTTTTACTTGTTTCAATTTCTTTTTTAGGTTATTGCATTGACTAGTCAGTTTCCTAGCTCTGTCACTTAGATATTTGACTAAGCCTGCCTTAACTGACATTGGATGG